TGTGGACTGGGTGGAGATCGTAAGCCCTTCATGAATAGCGGGTTTGCTGCTGCGTTGGTGTAGCGCTTCCGCCGAGAAAAATCTCTAGCAGCACTTCCTCATAATTGCAAGTACCAAAGATCGCACAATCTCCATCTATGTTCTGGCCCTACTTGCTCTTGACATCAGATTGGAACAGTATGATGCTCCGGTTACTCACTCTTAGTACCCTGGTTGCCGTTGCCGCTCGGAGTGTAAATGGTGAAAGTGAGCCCCTTCCGATCACGGTACCTTGGACGAGTATCAATATACAGAACTCTGGCTAAGATACAGACTACTCACAAACGGTAACTCACGGAACAGGTGCCGTCAGGCTAGCAGAGAGCAGAATCAACCCCCACCGGAGCGAGACAACCAAGTATGCGATATTCCCGAGTTCCGAGGCATCAAACAATCATATCAACAGGCTGGATACCAAAGTCGACAGTAACACTTCCGGGCCACCGACATCGGCTTCGCAGACAACATCACGTACTTCACCATTATCTGCGGAGCCTTCAAACTGCGAAGTCAAGTCCGAGCAGCGTGCAAGTCGGCCACCTGCCGAATCTCTGCCCAGGAGGATTGGCAGTTTTTGGCTATACGGTTGCGCCGCTGGTTTCTCCACACTCAGAAGCATTGCCTCTACTACGAATATGAGCCTCGATCTGTGTTCTGTCTACTGCACAGCACGGTACTTTGGTGTATATGAAACGTACGTCGCCAAGGCAGTATACGTTTCTCCCGAATGGAACCGCTAACCAGTCAAGTCACTGCTATTGTGGTGATCAGCTTGGCATTCTACCAATGAAGAGGGCCGCCGAGTCCTTGTGCAACAGTCCCTGTCCGGGTAATGGCAACCAGGCTTGTGGCGGCCAACTATTTTCCTCAGCGGTCCAGGACTATGCGCCGTTTACCAATGTTCTTTCTCTGTATATTCGATTCAACCGCGGGTAAAAATTTCGCAAAACCACAACTGTTTGCGAGGCACCAATTTCGAAGCAGAGTGGAATCTCGCGTGTGGCCACCGGAGTTGGAGATAATTATCGGTCGATGAAAGCGGCATCACTATTGGCACCACGTCGACATGCATGGTGTGCTGTTGCAGCATACGGAGGTCATGCAGCAATGAGAGCGTAAATAAGGGTTACCTGACCAGTCGGCCAGTATTTCAGTGCTGTAGAAGGTTGGTGGGAGACCTGCTCTACAGGTGACCTAGACGTCAAACGTCCAGAGAACTTAGCAAAATCCGTAGAATTGATATGCCAGGTAGTACCCTCTTCTCCTGCAGTATGAAATATTCTGCGATGGAATGAACTAATAGCAAATTGACCGGACACCGCAAGGCGTGTATGTAACCCTCTTGTTGGAGAGCATGTAGTTGGACTTCAACTTGAACGTGGTGGGTGAATGGTAGTGTGTGGGTGTCACGCGCCTAGGAGCCTCAGTCGTCCTTGATAGAAGCAAGTCTCCGAGAAATATCGGAGGAAGTCCGGAGCCCGGAGGGACCTGACGTGCTAAGGAAACGCTCCTTTCAACCCCAGTGGTAGGGTTGCCCAGAGGTAAATTACCAGGAGGTAAATTACCAAAACCTCGAGGTAAATGACGGTCATAAACTCGAGGTTTATGACGGTCATTTATCACGTGCCTCCAGTCACTATTTGGCTACTACAGAAAGGCGCGGTTAGGGATAGTCTATCCTGTTGAGACGCCGTACTTTCGGGTGT